AAATTAAAAGTGAGAAAGGTTTAAATACTCGTTAAAAATAATAAACCCACAAGTTAAGACAAGGAACATGTTTTTATGTTAAATAAGTTTTCAGGACAAGCATCTCCACGACAACAGGGGAACTCGGAAGAGTTGAGAGAATGTGCTGTAACGAGTGCCTGGACTGGCCGGCTGGCCTGCCCACATCAGGGCTGATGCTGGCACAGGGGGAGGCAGGCACGTCCCTTATGTGGAAATGGGGCCTGGAGATCAAAACTTGAGTAGTACCAACTTAGGCAGTAATTTTAGGAAACTACAGTATTTGATAGCGTAAGAGTCCTGAAGAGTGATCTGCTGTTACTGCTTTGCTGGAAAATGTGTTACTCGTGCAGATGCTCATGCTGGGGCGCGTTGTGTAAACCCTGCAGGCCAGTGGAACCCGCTGGCCACACCTGGGACAATGAAAAGCCGTGAGGTGGGGCTTTAACAGAGGCAGCTCTTGGCCTGGTTAGAGCGTGCCGGCTGGCTGCCGTGCAGACACTTCAAGACCCAGGAAGTTTGCTTTCTTAGTCCTGGGTCTTCCATGAGTTAGGCCTGGGTCAGTCATGCTGTGGACATTCTCTTCCTTCTCCGTAGGGAAGATAGATTAGTGTACGTGCAGGCTTAGGAAGGACAGTTCCTGGTGGAGTGTAACAAAGGTGAGAGTTCTAACAAATCTCTGATAGGATTAAAAAATCACACCTTCTTGCGTATGGCACTGTTCTAGCAGGGTTTACTTTCTGTTCAACTGAGGCTCGTTTTTACTCATTCTATATTATAGTATGTGAAGAAAAAGAAATTGGATTGAATTTTTGGTCCTCTTTTTAAGGTGCCAAATATGAAGGATCGTCCTGTTTCTTCCTGCCAGTTTGGGTGCCTGTATTAACTCACAATAGAATTTAAGACATAGGTCCTGTAAGATACTTGTAAAGACTGTAACCAAGAAGAATTTTCTACTTTTCACTGCGGACACTGATCATGGTGTATTTATATTATTCCAAATAGCATATCCTACATGTGTTGTAAAACTTGAACCATGGAAATTTTAAGAGAGAAGGCTCAGAGGAAACTATGATAAATTAAACGTTGACCAAGTAAAGAAACGGGGACAGATGTGGTCATGCGAAGCTGAGTGAGAGGACAGGAGGCCGCCCCGAGCACAGGTGGCAGAGAGCCCCTCTTGGGGGCCGGCGGCCAGCAGTCTTCGGAAAGCAGCCATGTGCTTGTTGGTGCTCAGAAAAGTTTTTAAATTATAGTTGATTTGGGCGATGAACTGTCTTTTATCAGATGGCCCTGTTTTCCCTGGCAGAATTTTGCTCTGGAATCGACTTTGGTGTTAACATAGCCGCTGCAGCTTTGTTGTGTTACCGTAGGCACAGTGCATCGTCTTTGTGTTAACGTAGCCCGTCCGTGTCTTCGTGGTTAGCGGGCACTTCTTGGGACCCTCCCACAGTTGGGTCGCGCCTTCCTTACCCCGGAGATCTCTGCTTCTGAGTGCGGAGCTGGCGCCATTATCCTGGAAGTGACTAACTGTGTGATTGGGTTGAAATCTAGCATCTTGCTGCTTGTTTTCTTTGTCTATACTGTTCTTGTTTTCTTGCCTCCCTTTGTTTTGGGCTAACGTGGTTTTTATCTCCCTTTTTGGCTTATTAGATATAACTCTTTGTTTTGTTTTAGTGGTAGCTTTTACGGTTTGTAGTCGACACCGAAGTGTATCAGCATCTGCCTTTCCTTAATGTAGTACCACTTGTTCACCTTCCTGAGATGGTCCCCCACTTCTCATTCCCGTCTGTGCTCAGAAATTCTGTGTAGTCCTAAACCACATAGTGCTTTGTTGTTGTGCTTGCTTTAAACGAGTCAATTTTCTTTTAAAGAGATTAAAAATAAAGATGTGTTTCATATTTATCCACCATGTACCATTTACAGTGCTTTTCATTCCATGTCTAGATCTAGACTTCCTTTTAGCTTCCTTTCTGCCTGGGTATTCCTTTATTTCTTGGGGTGCAGGTCTACTGGTAGTGAGTTTTTTCAGCTTTTGTGTTTGAGAAAATGTCTAGTTTACTGTCCTTTATAAAAGATACTTTCTCTGGGTGTAGAATCCAGGATTGACAAGATTGTTTATCCGTCCTGCGTTTTGAAGATGTTCTTCTGTGTTCTGGTGTGCGTTGTTTCTGAGGATGGGTCCTTCACTTTTGTCTCCATTCCTCTGTATGTAGTGACTGTTCTTTTTTCTTACTGCCTTGAAGATTTTAGGCAATTTGATTGTGATACACCTTGATGTAGCTGGTAAGTTTCTTGTACTTGAAGTGTCCTGAGCTATTATTTCTTCAAATAGTTTTTCTCTTCTCCCTTCTTTTTTTTTTTTTTTTTTTTTCAAAGTTCTAACTAACCATTAATCCTACTTAGTGCATTTTTCATTCCAGAAGTTCATTTTGGGTCTTTATTTCTTTCTTCTTCCATATCTCTATTTAACATGTTCAGTCTTTACTTTTGTGAATATAGAATATATGTCTAACAACTATTTTAATATCCTTGCCTTTTAATTCTGTCATCTGTATCAGTTCGGGGTCTAATTTGATGGACTTCCCTCCCTTAGGTCATATTTTCTCATTTCTTTGTGTATCTGGTGAATTTTGAATGGAGGCCAGGCATTTGGATTTTGTGTTATTGGGTCCTGAATGTCTTTGTATACTTCCCCTGTAGTCATTTTTGAGCTTTGTTTGAGGTTCAATTTGACCCTTTAGGCATATTGTTAGGCGGGAGCCAGGCTGCCTTCACTCCAGGCCAGTTCTTCGTTCTTCCGCACACTGCAGCCGGGCCCTTCTGTGTGCACTGCCTGAGGTCCTGTGAGTTGGGAGTTTTTCCCACTGTGTCTGGTGGGGAGACACTCCCCCACCCTCGTCCCAGCAAGCTCTGCTGCTGTTCCCCCTGGTCATTTCAGGGGCTGTTGATGCACACCGAGCCCCACTGAGAGCCCTGGACTCGTGGGGATGGGTCAGCGCTCACCTCCTGGCACTGAGTTGTGGGGTCTCCATGGGGACTCCGGGCCCAAGCTGGGCACTCGCAGGCTCATCTGCCCTGTATGGCCTGAGCTCTGCTTTCTGAAACTGTCTTTTCCTACATTTTGTCTTTGGTTTTGGGGAGCATAAATCTGGCCCATCTTGGCCAAAACCAAAAGCTCAGCTAATGTTTAAATTTCTCAGATTACCACCCTCCTTCCCCAGGTGTGTAGTTACCAGCTCTCTAGTGCAGTGCAGCAATGTCAGCACATTAATTTACCTTAAAGGGACCTTGGTCCTAAGAAAAGCACTTGGTACGTAGTGGATTTACTTCCTGTGGCAGTGGGGACCTGATTCTGGAAGCCACACTCAGCACCTCTGCTCTTCTGGAAGAGGTTTACTAGCCATCAGTATGTTGGACTCTGTTGTCTAAGAATCTGTCCTCCAGTGTCCATACCGTTTCTGTTTGGTAAGGACAGATGCAGCGTAGCCGAGAATTAATTTCTGCCGTAGCCGAGAATTAATTTCTGCCTCTCTGTCCCTGTAGGAAGTAGAAGCACTGTTCAAAGGAGACAATTTACCGAAATTCATAAACTGTGAATTTGCCTATAATGATAATTGGTTTATTACATTTGAAACAGAAGCTGATGCACAGCAGGTAAGTCCTTCCCACCGCTGTTGAAGCCCAGCGTTACCAGTACTTAATACTTAACCTAAGTTGTACGTAGGGGGCCTGACTGTGGGTGTTGAGATTACTGTTGCATTGTGGCACTAAGTTTGATTATATAAAGTGCAGGGGAAATCATGTTGTAGAAACTGAAATAGGTGTGTTTGTGCAAATAGTTTTTGTAGCAATATGTAAAACATATGACGTTATTTCTTAAGGACATGTAAGATGAGCAGCATGTGAAAATGAGTTCTTTTCTTTTATGTTTTCTTTTCTCGGGCGGAGAAAAGTTTTAATACTTAGAAAGTGTTTTGGGAAATTGGAACACCACCTTAACTTTCACCAGGTGTCACTGTGTGTCGTAAGACAGTTGAAACGGCCCTGCGGCCCTCTGGGAGGAGAGGCAGGGAGTTATGATGGTCTCTCTGCCCTTCAAGGAGGAGTCTTGCTGGGGGAAACGTTAACATGCTTAAAGGGATTGCCAGTACAGGTGGGTCTTGAACAGCGTGGAGGTTAGGGATGCCGACCCCGCATGGTGGGGAGTCCACGTGTAATGATTGATTCTCCGAAGTGTGAACTATTGCTAGTCTACTGTTGGGCTGCCTGAAGTCTTCCTGATAACATAAACAATTGACTAACTCCTACCTTGTCTCTTATATACTGTGTTCTTAGAATAAAATAAGCTGGAGAAAATACTGCAAAGAAAATCATAAGTAGGAGAAAATGCATTTATAGTACTGTCTTGTAGTTCTCCAAAGTGTGCATGTGGGTGGCCCTTTGTGGTTCAAACCCGTGTTTCAGGGTCAGCTGTGTATATTATGCGTTAAGTGACATGAATGCAATGAAGTTCAGAAGAGAGAAACCTGAAGGATGGGTGTTAATGGGCTGGAAGGGAAAGGACAGAGGAGGAGCTGGGCAGTTGGAGACAGGTAGGAGCTGTGAGCGCGGCAGGCGCGAGCTGTCCTCACCAGGAGGGCGCGTGCGATGGGCCCAGGTCAGATCAGGTGGCTCAGAGCCTTAAGGAGTGCACTTGGGAGAAGAATAAGGAGCCGCGTAGGCAGGGACTTCGGAATATTGCAATCTCAATGTTTTCTTCTCCTGAACTGTGTAATTCCATTTTCAGATTGGAGTTATGACTGGGGACTTGGTATCCATTGTTACCTGCAGGTCAGGACTCTTGGCTGGTGGCCTGTGGGAGGCTCTCCGGTGTCTGTTAGTCCTGCTCGAATCGTGGTCACATGTTGAGCATGAGACTGTTTGCTGGAGGCTCCCTCACTCTTAGAGGTTCTTTTAAGGAACCATTGACCCAGAGTAGGTTAAGATTCCCCGTTCTAGGTTCTGTCCGTCGTATTTTGATGACCCCATTCCTTAGCTGAGGTAGTGAGTTACCTGCCAGTTCCTTGTGTTTCTAAGATGAATAACACAGTGGTATTGTGGATGTTTTGCCCTCAGGCTTACAAATATCTTCGAGAAGAAGTCAAGACTTTTCAAGGAAAACCAATTAAGGTAAGCAAGACCACTCGTCAGACTCTCTGTGTTTGCAAATCACTTCTTCAGTATTCTCACAGACACTTCTGTGTCTTCACACAGGCACGGATAAAAGCAAAGGCAATAGCTATAAACACGTTTTTGCCAAAGAACGGATTCAGACCTCTGGACATGAGCCTTTACGCGCAGCAGCGCTACACGGCCTCCTTTTACTTACCTCCGGTCTACGGCCCTCAGCAGCAGTTCCCCCTGTACAGCCTGATCGCTCCCCAGACGTGGTCGGCCACACACAGCTATCTTGATCCGCCGCTGGTGAGTCCTGCGGTGTTTGGAGCTTATGCGGCCGGAGGTTCTGTGGTGGGCACTGCACCAGGTGCTCAGAAGGGTGGGGCCCCGGGCCTCTAGGGGAACCGGACGGGTCTACAGTCTGCCGTGGCGAAGCGGACCCTCGGGTCCTGTAGCAGACCTCAATTTAATCGGGAGATCAGTGTGCCGCTGTGTACACTGAAAAAGTGGAAGGCTCTAATCTTGACCCTTGGCGGGGTCCACCTGCCGTCCTGTGTAGCAGCACCTTCCTAAGCCGTGTAGTTCCCAGTAAAACACAAAACATGATCCGAGCTCTGGGATGACGGGGTTACTTCTGAGCACAGGGGGTGCCAGGGGAGACACTTTTAAGGACTCACAGATGTTTTAACAGGCTTCTAACAGTGGAGGACAAGGAGACCTATAGCTTTATTCTTCCCACCAGCCCCAGACTGACTGGCCTGTGTAGTGGGTCCAGGTGGTTTTCCCCAGCTGTGTCGCTGGAGAGCTTAGAGAGGTCAGGCGGGCCCCGGCTGGGCATGGGACAGAATCAGGACTGTGATCGGCTCCAGTCGTTGGGCTCCCACCATGGAGAGTGGGGATGGGCTGATGGACAGGCTTGCATGAGGCCGCAGGGCAGGTGTCGGTGGGGCCAGAGACAGGGAAGGGCACAACGTGTGGAAGGTTGTATTTGGGAAGCCGGAGTTGAGTAATGGTCTTGAGGGTGTGACTGTGGACCGAGCTGGGGAAAGCTGTGGGGGATGTGGCAGAGGCCTGTGAGCCAGGCCCCACCATGTGGGGATGTCATGTGGGGCTCTTGTTAGAGATGGAGCAGCAACTCAGGTGGGGTTGGGGGTGTCCGTGCCTGTCGCACACGTGCAGATGAGCGTCCCTAAGAGCACGCAGCCTGGGAAAAACCAGGGTGTCAGGCGGGCGGGCGGGAACTGGGAAAACGGGACCTGGACAGAATACGGTGAAGCTTACAGTGGGGGCTTACCTGGTGTGATGTCCTCTCTGCTGAGCTCATCAGGAGGTGGAAGGAAGGGGGCTGTAGGAGAGCCAGTGGGTGTGCGGGGGCACCGGGCGGCTGGCGTGCTGGGTGTCTCTGAGCTGAAACGGAGGCTGAGGCAGGGAGCTCAGAGGGGAAGCCAGGCTGTGTGGCATCTCCGGTGTGTCCTGAGGCCGTGCACTCTGTGCCTGTGGCTTGTGAGGCCACAGGAGTCGGGAGAGGTGGTCACGGGCACCGTCAGGGCCTGAGGTCTGGAGACACTGCAGACAAGGTTTCTCCCCCTCCCCCCCATGCTACGTTCTGTTGAAGGTACCAGTGGCCATGTGGCCGGCAGATCATGAGAGAACCGTAATGGGGAGTAGAGTCCTTGAGCTCTGGCATTGAAGAATTTCTCCAGGGGAGGCCAGCCGGCGCACCGTGCTGTCTGCTTCCTCTGGAGTTACGTTGCTTTTCGGACCGCTCTCATCGCGTCTGTGCCTGTCTGGCACTAGGGGTCGGGTGGCCATTCCAGGTGGTTCCTTTGACCCTGGTTCAGGAATGAGGCCTTTTGCTTGCTCAAAAGCACACTGTGTCATTTGGAGCAGATGTGAAGAGATAGTACCTGTTAATTCTCAGCAAGCAATGTCAAATGATTGGGTTAGGGACTTATTTATTTATTTCTAAAAAATGTTTATTTTTGAGAGTGAGTGAGCAAGCATGGGTGGGGGAGGGGCAGAGAGAGAAAGGGAGACACAGAATCCAAAGCAGGCTCCAGGCTCTGAACTGTTATTGCAAAGCCTGACACGAACTGTGAGATCATGACCTGAGCCAAAGTGAGACGCTTAACTGACTGAGCCACCTGAGTGCTCCCGAGGGTCTAATTTATTTTTAAACTCTTGAGCAGAATTACTCAAATACCAGAGTTCTCTATGTAAGAGTACATACAGGAAATGATTTGTCACAACTGGTCTTACCATGATTCACAGTCTTACGTGATTTAAAATCTAGTTCCTGTGTGATTGATAGATTTTTAAATAGTCTCACTCTGGCAGCTATTCTCAGATGGCATGTTGAGGATTCTCACAAAGTTCTAAGTGTATCTTTTGCCCCCAGAGTTTCCCCTCTGTTGCTTTTTTTTTTTTTTTTTTAAATCAGCAAACAATTTTATTTGGTCCTAAGCTGTGTCTAACATCTGCTTTCTGTCACAGCATATGCTTAGCTCCAGCCCCCACAGGTGTAGTTTGGCTTCCTTGGGGGGCTGTTGTGGGGAGGTCACCTTAGTCGGCCCAGAAGAAGGCCTCAGCCCCAGCCTGGTTCAGGAAATACTGGTCATTGGCAATAATCTAACACCATGTTCTTTTCATCCGGGAAATATTTCAAGCCTTAACTGGAGCAGAGCCTACTTGGCAAGTCGAGAAATAACTCCAACCACCATGAGGTGCACCGTTAGCCAGCGTGAAGGCTGTTTATGGCTTGCTGACTTGTTTGTTTTTAATGAATCTAGGTAACTCCATTTCCAAATACTGGATTTATAAATGGGTTTACGTCTCCAACCTTCAAACCTGCAGCGTCTCCTCTGACTTCGCTCAGACAGTACCCTCCAAGAAGCAGGCAAGTTCCACGAGTGGTGGAGACGTGGTGGCTCCCCGGGGTTTGTGGTAAGAGGTCTGCCACGCTGTGCTGTGCTCTTGAGTGGAGCAGAATGAGCCGTGTTGAAGCGGGGAGTCCTTCCCACGTGCTCGAGTCACGTTTAGTACATGGAGAAGCTCTTTCTGACGAGCTCTTGTGACACATGTGACCAGTGGAGATGAAACCGCTGGAAGCCTAGAATCGCACTGAGGTCATACCCTGAGATGTGTGCCGGAGTGCCTGCACAAAGCACAGGTGCTCTGCGGCTTGTGGCCGTGGGGGCCTGCTTTGAATTTGGACCTGGGCTGCCCGGCGCAACACAGAACGTCGATACTTTGTAGATTCGCATTAGCGGACATAGCATGCGTTAACCATTTCTTAAGTAATGTTTGTACTGTTTTTTTCTAAATAGAAAGTACCTTTTAGTTGAGTCATTTCGTGTTAGCAAGGTCATTTTATGATGCCACGATGGCTTTAACACTGAGCACGTGCAAACCTTCTGTTTCCAGGAATCCTAGCAAATCTCATCTACGCCATGCCATTCCCAGTGCAGAGAGAGGACCTGGACTGTTAGAAAGCCCTTCGATATTTAACTTCACTGCAGACCGTCTAATTAATGGCGTTCGGAGCCCACAGGCACGGCAGACAGGTCCTCCTAGAACACGGATACAGAACCCTCCCGCCTACGCCAAGAGGGAGGTTGGGTCTGGTCGCGTGGAGCAGAGCAGCGCGGAATCTCCCCCTGGTTTAGGGAGAGGGAGGTGAGTCCTTGCGAGCTGCTATCAGACAGCTGCGGCCTGTCCTAGTAGGCTGTGAACATTGTCCAGTGTCCTCTGCAGGCGTGGTTTAGCGTTTCCTCTTCAGATACAGTACACAGCATCAGATCAAAGGTTTTATGTAATTACTCAGAGGGTCACTCGAGAGCAGAGACTTGACAGGCTTCGTCTTCTTTATATAACATTGTGGAAAGAGCTGTAGATGGACAGGAACCACATTAGGTCACAGTCGTTGGTGGACATTTGGAGCTTTGCACACACCAGTGTCCACGCTGCGGGTCTGAGGCCTCCCCCCACCCCACCTCCCCGTGTAGAGGCCCAGCATCTCAGCCTTGCTCCATTTCCATGGTAGTGAGTGGGTTGTGCGCCAGGCAGACCAGGCTGTGGCAGACCAGACCATTTGTACTAAATGTATTTAGAAAAATAAGCCGTACTGGTGAAGCGGTGCCCGCTGGCCACACTCTGTGGAGATGTGCCCGTGCTGTCCGTGGGACACACACTGACACCCTGGGTCCCTCGGTGTCTGGTTGTTCCCGTGCCTCTGATGTCGGGCTGTGCCCAGGACCTCCGTACTTTTCCTTGAGGCAGCGTGCGTGCTGCCCCGCCTCCTGCCCCTTCCTCCTCTGTTTGGGAGTAAGGTTAGAAGAGGCAGAGGTGAGTGCGTCCGTCCGGTTTGGTCTCTCGGTGGTCGGCTCTGCATGGGGCTGTGTGGAAGGAAATCCCTTCTGACAGGTAACCTGCACGGGTTCAGCCCGCCTAAGCATTTCTTTCACCAACTTGGGAAACTTTAGGTGCACATGTTCCCAGTGTTGCACATCAGCACAATGTCTGCACACAGAGGTTCCTGCAACGTGGGCTCCTCTCTGTCCCTGGCGCTCTGGGGCATGTGAGGGGCCCAGAGGCACAGTGCACTGCATTGGTAGCACGTCAATTTACACGGTCTGGCCTGGGTGGGGCCGGGGGACTGAGTGGCTGGCTGCAGCCTGCCGCCACACGTCACCAGGACATTTGCCGTAAAGCCAGCTCGATGGGTATTGGAGAGGTGAAGGTTACTGAGGCCACACAGAGGCTGCGGCCAGCCACGGGGCTGGGGGGGTGGACAGCAGAGACCAGAGGCTTGCCGCAGGGCCTGCGGAGCTGAGGCCAGACCTGAAGGAGGCCGCGCCTGCCACCTGGGTGATGCCACGGGCGCCGGTCTGTCCTCCTCAGAAGACAGCTCAGAGGAAGTACCAGCGGGAGGGCAAGTCCATAGGCCCACTCTCTGCCTCCCCATCTCCCTCTGGCGTCTTGGGAAAAGCTCCACAGGAAGCGTCCTGGCAGTGGAAGGACAGGGCCACCTGGCGTCGCGGAAACTGAGGGGCACCCGGCTGACCCATGTGGGCCACCTCTGGCCACACAGTCACGTGTGATCTTGTTCTGCGGTAGGACTTTGCAGGACGGCAGGAACCGCCTTGCGCTTTTCCCAACAGAGGGCTACCCTCACCCTCCAGACTGCGGCTGCCCCTGTGGGACATCCTGGTGCTCACGCCTGCCATGTCAACAGACAGGGTGTTGGTGCCTAGGCGTCTTCAGCTGGAGGGCAAGCCAAAGTGGCTGTGTCCCCCGCCGGTGCCCCTGTACCAGCAGCCTTCTTTCTCTTAGGTTTTGTTTTCTGTTTTAATTTTTTTTAATGTTTATTTATTTTTAAGAGAGAAAGAGACGGCATGAACAGGGGAGGGGCAGAGAGAGGGAGACACAGAATTCAAAGCAGGCTCCAGGCTCTGAGCTGTCAGCACAGAGCCCGACACGGGGCTCGAACCCACGAACCGTGAGATTGTGACCTGAACCAGAGTTGGACACTTAACTGACTGAGCCACCCAGGCGTCCCTCTTTCTCTTAGGTTTTGTTTCATTTTCCTTTAACTTTGTTGGGTGGTAAGGAGCAATATGAGGGGCCCCGGCAGCCCCCTGGGACCACTTGTGGTTCTCCCACCCTGTGTGGCAGTGACCGCCAGCTGGGTTCAGGTGTGTCACATGCTGAGAGCGACTGCCAGGTTCAGAGTTGTGGGCCCAGGAAGGAAGCACGGTGCTGGTGAAAAGTCAGGTGTGATAGTGAAGAGTCCTCCCACCTATGCTCCACACTCCAGCCCTGTGCCACGCTCACCTTGGAGCCCGTGTTATGTCTCCTGAGGTAGGACTGTCCTCTGAGGACACTCTGGCCCTGGTCGGGTGGCCCGGGCACCATGTCCAGAGACATGCCTGTGGTGCCGACACAGTGGTGGAGGCCCAGCCAGGACAAAAAAAGGTCAGTGCTGTCAGCCAGCCGGGGCCCACCGGTAGGGACACACGGGCCAGGCGTGGTGGCAGGGCCCCAACGTGATCGCTGCGCCCCTGGGGCCCTGGCCCGAGATAGGTGCACCTCTTCTCTCCCGGCTGTCGGGGTCTTGTCTGAAGTGCTGTGTATGTCACAGGTGTGCGCACGCTGTCTCTTCCCCGGGCCTCTTCCCAAGGGCTCTTCGTCACCATACGTTGAGGGCGAGTCTCTGCGAGGCTTTTGTCCAGCCAGACCCTGAGCCTCCTGCTGCCGAGCTATTTCTGCCTCCAGACACAGGATGCAGCAAATGTTGCTTGAAGTTCTAGGTCTGGAAAGATTCCCCTTCACACTGGTCTTGGGGAGCACTTTTGATTGTGGAGTGGAGTGGAGGCGTCCACACGCTGCACAGCTGTCCCTGGTGCTAGTCTGGAACTGACCACCCTGCCTTCCCCCCCCCCCCCCCCCCCCCCCCGCCCCGTCACTGTTCTCAGGGACTCCCTGTGAGGAGGCCTCAGCAGTGGACCGAGAGCTGTTGCTGGCGTTTGTGCTTTTCCCTGGGGCTTACTGCCCCATTTCTGATGGGCAGCTCGAGTCCATGGTCACTTGCTGTCCCATGGTCCGGCATGTAGTCTCCACTGGGAGCCAGTTGAAAGCAGGAGCCTTTCTGGAGTACTTTCTAAAGGAAAGGGTATGGCTTTGCTCCGAAGTCCTAGAAGTTTGCACTGTTGCTTCTCCTAGAGGGTCTAGCCAGAGGCCCCAGAGTGTCCTTTTTCGGCACAAAAGTGCAAGGCTTTCAGCCTGTCCTAATTACCTAGGCCATCCTGGGCAAGGCTGCTTGTGGGGTTTGTGTAAAGGAAAGGAATTGGTCGAGATTATTTCTTTGAACTCCTTTCCAGCTTACACTGTACAAGTGTATTCGGCTGAAATGACAAAGGGATAAGTAAGTAAAGACAACTCTAAATGAGAGTTACTCTGAACTCTTGGGCCACATAAGCCCATCCACAGCATGAAAGTATGCTATGGGCTCCTGGCGCTTGCCCGCAAACATCTAGAGCCTTGTGCACGTAGCCGGCTGCTGGGGATAGGCAGTGCCTGGGGTTTGGAAACCCTGGAGTAGACCATTGGTAGTGCTGACACGGTGGGTCATGTTGGGGCTGAGAGGGAGAGCAGGCCAAGCTCCTTCGGGGTCTTTCCATTTTAATGATTCATCTGATACATTTCATTACCAGTGTTTAACAGTTCACCCGGATGGCCCATTGTCAGGTTTTATATATCTTGTCATTTCAACTGAAGGGACGTTCAGGTATTTCTATCATAACAAAAATTCTAAATGAGTATTAGGAAAATTTTATCAGTAAATGTTTTTTTCTTTTTTCTTTTTGTTTTTCTTTAAGTTCTCTATCTAGACATCACTTGTAGTCTTTTACTATGAAATTATTATTTTGCTTATATTTCTTAAAGTTGGGGTTAAAAAAGCATTTTCTTAATGTTTATTTTTGAGAGAGACAGAGTGAGAGCGGGGGAGGGTCAGAGAGAGAGGAAGACACAGTATCCGAGGCAGGCTCCAGGCTCTGAGCTGTCAGCACAGAGCCTGACGCGGGGCTCGAACCCACGAACTGTGAGATCATGACCTGAGCTGAAGTTGGTCGCTTAACTGACTGAGCACCCAGGTGCCCCTAAAGTTGGGGTTTTATAATCAAAAGTCATCTGTAAAAGATTACAAAGGAATAAAGACTGAATAAGTGTGCACGTACCTGTGCTCAGTGAAAAATCTTCCCGGTGGGAAAAAAATTAGTCTTTTGCTTTCCTCTTTTCTAGGAAGAATTCCTTTGGTTACCGGAAGAAACGGGAGGAGAAGCTGACAGTGAGTACATCTAGCCCGTGGCACTTCTGCAAGATTCTTAAGCTTAATTCGTATTAAATGTGAGATTTAACTACATGAATGAAGGTTAAGAGGTTTTATCTTAATCTGATATGCATCAGGTGATAACTGACATTATTGTAGCCTAAAGAGGAGAAGTTGGAGGCGACTGTAAAATACTGGTCACTAAAGAGTCTGGAATGTCACCACACCGTGACAGTGTGTGTGCAGTAGGCACAGCCAAGACCACAGTGTGCACACGCGGTGGTCTACACACACATTGTGAGTTTTCTGTGTGTGGATAACTGGACAGTACTAGTTCAATGAGCTGAATTTAATAGTTGTGGCAAGCAGAATAAACTTTCCTGTGTAGGAGTTAGTGCATCAGTATTTTTCATTCAAAACCCTTAACTTCGTATCTCCTATGTGGAAAGCATTACTGCCTTGTGCTCTAATGGTCAGAACGACCCCACTAAGGGTGGGCCCGAGCGAACGCTGCGTACTGGAGGCATGGCTTGGGCTGATCATGTAGCTCCTCCTATAGATCATGCTTCTGGGCTCTGGTGTGGGGTTGGATCCATACCTTTCTATGTGAAGTACGCCAGCTTAGCTCATGTGGATCTCCGGGTGGATGGAAGGATGTCCATCGTTGCACTTCACGGACTGGAAGGACCTCCAGTAGATTCTTGGTCCACCCCCTGAGCCAGTGAGTATGTGCTCTCCTGTCACACAAGGTACATTTTCTCTGTCTAGTTAGAAAGTACAGATAAGTAGTTAATAAAGCAGTCGTAATGCTGCTGTGTTGGTTGATTTAGTCTAGGTTTTGGTGAACCCTTTGGTGAGGCAGTTTAAATTGGCTGATTACAGTTGGAATTAATGAATTCTTCTAACATTTGGACTGACAAGACTGGTATCGGAGTATGTCTTCAGATATTAGTTCCCTGAACTGAATCACTCTCAATTGGTTACTAAATTGCCTTCAGAGGGGACATTTATTCCTGTTGCATTTTGCGTACCTGACTCACGTGTTCATACCAGGGAGCCTCTTGGAAGGCCAGGCCCATGATGCAGGTGCATTTATTAAGGGGAGTGCACCTGTGGCTGCGTTGGGACGTTCTGGTGACTTCAGGAATTTAGAGACTATGATAGCGCATGTGTACTTGGACCAACCAGGTTGTGGGAGCAGGGCCTCATTCACCTTGTCTCAAGCTGTTCAGATCCTAAAACACTGTTAAACACTGCATTCAAGACGGGACCTCACCTGAAGGCACTGCCATTTTGTAACTCCCGCATCTAGACAGTGCTGCCTACATGAGTACTCCTGCAAAATCAAGATTCAGTAACATTTTTGTGAAATCTGAATCCCTGGAAATGGGGTCTTCTAAAAACCTGTGTTCATCTCAGAAAAATGCAGATGTTTACAATAAAACCTCTGAAACCTGCTTTGAGGTCACAGGCTGCTGCATAACTTAGGGCTTTGGGGAGTTACAGAGAGCACAGAGCAGCTGAGTGGCTGGTAAGCGTAAGCTGGGTTCTGAGGGTGAGTCACCAAAACGCACCTGAACCGTAGACCATGGGAAAGGCGAGAGGCAGGTAGGGATGCCCCAAAGAGATAGTGGGGAGTGTTTTTTTTAACTTGTAATGCATTTTATTTGTGTATTTAAAGTTTTGTCGGGAGTTAAAGTGTTCCGTTAGTTTCAGGTGTACAGTCTAGTGATTCGACACTTCCATATGTCGCCCGTGCTCGTCATGACAAGTGCCCTCATGTCCATCCCCCACTTCTTTCGTCCCCTCTGGTAACCAACTTTGTTCTTTACAGTTAAGAGTCTGTTTCTTGGTTTGCTTCTCTCTCTTACTTTTTTCCCTGTGCTTGTTTGTTTCTTAAATTCCACATATGAGTGAAATCCTATGGTATTTGTCTTTCTCTTACTATTTCACTTAGCATTGCACTTTCTTGCAAATGGCAAGATTTCATTTCTTTTTTTTATAGCTGAGTAAAATTCCATTGTATACATGTTGCCTCTTTATCCCTTCGTCTATCACTGGACACTTGGGCTCTTTCCATAGTTTGGCTACTGTAGATAATAAACATCAGGGTGCATGTATCCCTTTGAATTAGTATTTTTGTATTCTTTGGATAAATACCCAGTAGTGCAATTGCTGGGTTGTAGGGTAGTTCTATTTTTAACTTTTTGAGGAACCTCCATACTGTTCTCCAGTGCGGCTGCACCAGTTTGCATTCCCCCCAGCAGTGCAAGAGGTTCCCCTTTCTCTGCATCCTCACCAACACCTGATGTTTCATGTGTTGTAAATTTTATCCATTCTGACAGGTGTGAGGTGGTATCTCCTTGTCGTTTTGATTTGTATTTCCCTGACGATGAGTGATGTGGAGCACCTTTTCATGTGTCTGTTGGCCATCTGGATGGCTTCTTTGGAGAAATGTCTGTTCATGTCTTCTATTTATTCATTGGATTATTTATTTTTAGGGTGTTGAGTTTTATAAGTTCTTTATGTATTTTAGATACTAAATCATTGGATATGTCATTTTCAGGTATCTTCTCCCATTCCAAAAGTCGTCTTTTAGGTTTGTAGTTTGTTTCTGTCACCGTGCAGAGCTTTTTGCCTAGATGAAGTTGCAGTAGTTTATTTTTGCTTTTGTTTCCCTTACCTCAGGAGATGTATCCAGTAAGGAGTTGCTATGGCCAGTATCAAAGAGGTTACTGCCTGTGTTCTCTTCTAGAATTTTTATGGTTTCAGATGTCACATTTAGGTCTTAAATCCATTTTTAATTTATTTTTGTGTATGGTGTGAGACAGTGGTCCAGTTTCATTCTTTTGCATGTTGCTGTCGAGTTTACCCAAGACTATTTGTTGAAGAGACTGGTTTTTTTCCCCCATTGGCTTTTCTTTCCTGCTTTGTCACAGATTAATTGACCACACAGTTGTGGGTTTATTTCTGGGTTTCCTATTTTGTTCTTGGTTTATTTCTGGGTTTCCTATTCCGTTCTTTTGATCTCTGTGTCTGTTTATGTGCCAAATACCATACTCTCTTGATTACTATAGCTTTGTAATATAACTTGAAGTCCAGAATTGTGATGCCTCTAGCTTAGCTTTTCTTTTTCAAGGTTGCTTTGGCTATTCGGGGTCTTTTGTGGTTCCATATAAATTTTAGGCTTGTTTGTTCTAGCTCTGTTATTTTGATAGTGGTTTAATCAAATGTGTAGATTGCTTTGGGTAGCTAGGACATTTTAACAGTATTCTTCTGATCCATGAGCATGGGATGTCTTTCCATTTCTTTGTGTCCTTTTCAGTTTGTCTCACCAGTGTTTTATAATTTTCAGAGTGTAGGTCTTACACCTCTTTGGCTAGGTTTATTCCTAGGTATCTTACTGTTTTTGGTGCATTTGTAGTGTTTTCTTAATGTTTGGTTTTTTAAAAAATTGTTTTTAAATGGTTTTATTTTTGAGAGTATGAGTGGGCGAGGGGCAGAGAGAGAGGGAGACACAGAATCCGAAGAAGGCTTCAGGCTCTGCGCTGTCAGCACAGAGCCCGACACGGGGCTCAAAGTTGTGAACCACGAGATCATGATCTGAGCCGAAGTAGGATGCTTAACCAATGGAGCCAACCAGGTGCACCATTTTTAATGTTTATTTTGAGGGAAAGCGTGTAGGCAAGCAGGGGAGGGGCATACAGAGAGGGAGAGAGAGAATCCCAAGCGGGCTCTGCGGTCAGTGCGGAGCCCAGTGTGGGGCTTAATCTTACGAACTTGAGCTGAAACTGAGAGTTGGACACTTAACCGACTGATCCATTCAGGTACCACAAGTTTTCCTTTTCTTTTCTTTTTCTTCTTTCTTTTCTTTTCTTTTCTTTTCTTTTCTTTTCTTTTCTTTTCTTTTCTTTCTTCCTTTCTTTCTTTCTTTCTTTCTTTCTTTCTCTCTCTTTCTTTCTTTTTCTTTCTCTCTCTCTCTCTTTCTTTCTTTCTTTCTCTTCTCTTCTCTTCTCTTCTCTTCTCTTCTCTTCTCTTCTCTTCTCTTCTCTTCTCTTCTTTTTGAGAGAGACAGCATGTACTTGTGATCAGGGAAGGGGCAGAAAGGGAGATAGAAAATCTTAAGATGGAGCCCAACGCGGGGTTTGATCTCCTGACCATGAGATCATGACCTGAGCCAAAATCAAAAGTCAGACATTCGACCAACTGAGCCATCCAGGAGCCGTGGCGTATAGTTTTTCATAACATCACTGTGATGTTGGTTGGTATTTCTCCTTTGTCATTTGTGAATTTATTTTTTGGGGTCCTTTCTCTTTTTTTTGATAACTCTGGGGGGGTTTATCCATTTTGTTAATTTTTTCAAAGAACCAGCTCCTTGTTTCATTGATCTGTTTTTTTTTTAAGCTTCTATATCATTTATTTCTGCTCTGATCTTTATTATTTTCCTCCTTCTGCAGGCTTGAGGCTTTGTATGTTCTTTTTCTAGCTCTCTTAGGTGTCAGGTTAGATGTTTATTAGAGATTTTGCTTGCTTCTTGAGGTAGCCCTGTATTGCTACATACTTCACTGTTTTAAACCACTTTTGCTGCATCCCAAAGGTTTTGGACCGTTGTTTTCCTTTTCATTTATTTCTGTGTGTGTGTGTGTGTTTAATTTCTTTGATTTCCTGGTAAACCCATGCATTCTTTAGTAGCATGTTCTTTAACCTCCATGTATTTGAGAGCTTTCTAATTTTTTTCTTGTGGTTGACTTCTAGTTTCATAGTGTGGTCTGAAAATATGCATGGTATTTGTATTTGTTGTTTTTGTTTTTGTTGAGTCCTGATTTGTGACCCAGTATGTAATGTATTTTGGAGAATGTCCTGTGTGCACTTAAAAAGAATGTGTATTCTGCTGCTTTAGGATGGAATGTTGTCGATGTGTCTGTTAAGTCCATTTGGTGAGTAGGTCATTTAAGGCTACTGTTTCCTGGTTGGTTTTCTGCTTAGATGATCTGTCCGTTGCTGTAGGTTGGGTGTTAAAGTCTCCTATTATTACTATATTATTATCGATTAGTCCCTTTTTGTTTGTTACTGATTTAGCTCTTCTTGTTGGAGAGACCCCTTTATTATGATACAGTGCCCTTCTTCATGTCTTGTTAGTCTTTGGTTTAAGATGTAGTTTGTCTGATACAAGCATGACTACGCTGGCTTTCTTTTGATGTCCATTAGCATGATAGATGGTTCTCCATCTCCTTACCTTTTTTTTTTTTTTTTT